TATTTTTTTTTTCTCCATGGCTTCTGATGGGTATTTTTGTTTCAGCCCAACTAGTGTGCCTCAACTTCCCAAAGTAGTTAGCTCATAATCCCCAGAGGCACTGGAGGTGGGGCCTACAGCCCCTTTCAGCATGAAGAGGCTATATGAAGACAGCAGACCTCTGCATCTTCAGCATCCCAGAAAGAATCATGAGAAGATATGTCTCTCAAGGGCAAATGAAGCAAGAGATTAGGGAGTGGGCAAATGGCTGAGCAAGAGGGTGTGACCTGCTAGTTAGGGAATGCAGGACAGAGGTATAGAACTGTTTCCAAGCTCTGCACTTAGGACCAATCTGAAAGCACTGGCTTCAATTCTTCTGCCTGAAATCAAGCAGGCTTTTGATAAGATGGCCTAGATCTTTCCTCAGCCTAAAGACTGAGTGAAACAAACGACCTTCGCCAGCCACCTTGCGACCACGGTGAACTGGCTTAGCAGTCTCTTTTCATTCTACAAAGTCTAATTCTTTTCCTTCCTTTGATAAATGCAAAACCTCACTGCTGTTTCAGTGTGTCTTATCCAGTTCTTTGTTCAAAGACCCAGGACCTGGAAAGAGTATAGAACCCCAAAGGCTGGTCACAAGAGTTCCCATCTTTTAGGCTGGAGGTCAAGGCATGATAATTAAAGTGGAAAGAACAGTAACTCATAAATACCAATAATTACAAGAGAGAGCCACTGTAATTACTGTGAGCAAGGAACTCTACCTTTCACAGGCATTTGTGCAGTTAAACCTCCCTACGCCATTGTATATAAGCACAGATGAGGGAGACACTTATACAGAGAGGAGGAAGGTGCAGCCACCACCCTCCAGCTCTGTGTGTGGCTCTGGGCTCCTGCTCCTGGCCCCGGAATTCAGGGGCCAGCCCAGCCAGGCGCAAGCGTCCTTTGCAGTGCGATTTCCAAGTTCATCCAAAGGGGTGTTGATGGTGGTGATGTCGGCTTTGCGCAGTTCAGTTAGTAAAGGACATTAGTATGTGGTTGGTGTGTCAGGGCGAAGCTCAGAAGTGCAGCCCTTGCCTGGCTTAAGGGGTTCAGTTCCTGCAGGGCTTCAGGGGTTGAAGAGATCAGGGGCGGGGTCGCACTCAAAGCTAGGAAGCTTCTTTTTCTCCAGGGCTGGAGCAGAGCCTGGGCAAAAAGAACTTGCCCTCCAAACACCTGTTAGGTGTTTGCCCGTCCTTAGAGATCTTGCGGACTAGGTGACCAGCCCAGTAAGGCATCGTGTTGGCCTTTACACAGGTGACACAGGTCTGCACTGAACACACGCCAGGCACACCAAGCTGTGCTGGGCTGTCTTGGGGCTCACCTGCTGGGAGCGCTTCCCTGATAGCTCCTGGGCAGGGCTAGGCGGGGCATCCGGTCTGGCCCTGCTCGCTCCCTCCCTGTCCAATGTCTTCCAGGGCTGGCGCGGCGCTATATTTCGGATCAGAGCCAGCATCTTCCAGCTCTGATCTGCGCTGTGCCATGGACCACTTTCTGCTGCTCCTGCTGACCGCGCTGTGCGCGCTGCTGCTGCTGCTGGGCCTCTGGCTCTTGCTGGGCGCCGACAGCGACCTGACCCTGCGGTGGGTCGAGTGGTGGGGCCGCCGCCCAGGTGAGGACCCGCGCGACCGGCCGCTCCGGGGCGTCCATCCTCGCCTCTGCCGGCCCGCGTTGGTCGGTCCCGACACCCTCCGGGTAGCCCTGAGCCTCTAATCTGAGGGATGGGACTTTCTCAGGGGCGGCTCCTTGGATATCGAGGGGTCGCGGGGAGGGGGCTGTACCATTTCGTTTTCTCTCCTGGTGAGAAGAGGACCCGGACTTGCCTCAGCCTCGGAGCCTCACTCTGGACTGTCAGCCTGCAGTGAGCAGGAACCCTGCGGCACACAGGACACCTGACTCTCCAGGATTCAGGGGCAGCGACAGGGGAGGGCTGAGGGACAGGGAGCGGGTCCTGCTCAGCCAAAGAGGCCCCGAGATTCTGTCTCCTGACCTTATTTATCCTCCACACTTTGCTCTCCCTAGTTGGAAAGTGAGATCTGAGATATTCCCACACACTTCTTAGAAACTAGTCCTGTTTTCCAGATAGAGAAATATGTCCAGAAAAATGACGCTCCAGCCTCAAAAGTAGTAGGATCCTGGACTGAGAGTGTGACTTTCCTGGACCAAGTTCCACTGTGAAGTGACCCAGCATGCGCTGAAGTGTGCTGGGAGGTCACAGGCTGCAAGTTCAGGAGATACCCCATGATTTCCCAATGGCGCGTTGATGGGGACACTGACTGGCTCTTGTGGCTGGAGGAGGTCAGTGTACATCGTGTTGTTTGTCCCCCCCCCCCCAGGCCCTTGCTGCCTGTGCAAATGTCAGTCCTGGGGATTCTGTTTCTGTGATTGGGTTTCCTGGGGCATAATTTGTGCAGCATAGACATGGAATTAGTAGAAAATGCACAATGCCTATGCAAAACCAGCATCGTAACACCACAGAAAATCGGTGGATTCAGTGGGCGACTTTGTGTCTCTTACTGTTTTTCTCTTCTGAGTGAGTGTGTGAGTGTGCATGTGACTGGGGACTGCAATCTCAGCCTGTGCCTTGCTCAGCAAGTACCCTCCACTGAGCTGCACCCCAAGTCCTATTGCTTTTAGAGCAGGAACCCCCCAGGGAAGTGCCATTGAGTGGACTCTAGGGCTCTGTTGACTGGTTGCTCCAACTACGAAGGTGGAGGGAAGGCTTCTGCCTGTTTGCTGCCATTGGCTGCTTGTCCATGTTGTGCCTAGTCTTAAAGCTTTTTTTTTCTTTTTTAAAGAACATCAATTTAGGGGCTGGTGAGATGGCTCAGTGGTCTAAAGCACCTACTTAGAACAAGCTTAGCAAAGTACAGGGACCACAGTTCGATCCCCCAGCACCACATGCCAGCCAGCCCCGCCCCCTGGTGGGCTGAGCTGGCCCCCCCCACAAATAAATAAAATTAAAAAAAAAAAGAACATCAATTTAGAGAATTATATACAATGGGTTTATAAGTAAACTGGGTTTATATTTTTGAAGTACGTACTTTTCTTTTATCATTAGTACATGTTTGCACATACAAAGTGATTATGCCTATCTCGGGCAGATGGTGTGTGTACATAACCTGCCCTGACTCTCTCTTCCACCTTTATGCCCCATCTCTGGGTCCCCTTCCCACTTGCAAAAGCTCTGCTTTCATTTTTTCCAATTGTTTTTTAATCCCTACCCTTCCCCTTTGTCTTCTAACTCTACCTTTGATATGCAATTTAAAATGCTGTTCCATCCATCAAATTGCATCTGAAAAGGTAAAGTATTGGTAATATTTCACTAAATATTGTAGTACCTAGCAAGCTAAGCAAATGTTAAATTTTTAAAAGTAATTTTTTGATAAGGTAACTTCTTCAATTGTTTTATTTACCTGGAAATGTGGGTGAATTTTAAATTTAAATGTTTTTGTATAATTTAATAATTTTCAGATTTTTATATTGTCTTGCTAACTTTCTAGCATATAAAGCTACGCTGAAGCATGTTTATCAACAACACTTCTAAAATGCTTATAGTTTTTAAATGATAGTTTCACTTTTAACTTAATTTTAAAATTTAATTTTTAAATTAATGCTTATCCTTCAGCATGCACTGACAAAAACATCAAAATTGCAGCACCTCTTAGTGCATGGCTCACACACAGAGATATCCCTAAATCTGTTGAGTGAAAATTCCATTGAAGGGAGATGTATTGGGTGAAAGAAGTTTGAAGCTGAACTTCTGGTGGGCTGGAGAATTTACAAAATGAAACGAATTTAGAAAATGAAAGGAAGATGACAATGCAGCTCAAGTCAGAGTGTGGGCAGAGTTTAAGAGAGAAACAATCACTCTTGCCTTTTCTTTTTTTTTTTGTGGAACCGGGGATTGAACTCAGACCCTTGCGCTTGCCAGGCAAGCACTTATTCTACTGAGCCATCTCCCCAGTCCCTATCAGTCTTGCCTTTTCTGTACAGTTATTACTTTGCCAGTTTATACACTAGGCAGCATGTGCCTATTGCAATTCAAAATTTAAAAATATTAAAGAACATACAGTAGAAAAAGAAGCCTTTCTCCCCTCATCCCCCACCTTGCAGTGTATCTCTTGAATGACCAGCATTTTCTGCCCTTCTCTGTCCTCCTCGTGATACTCCCTATTTCCCAGCATGTGTCTCCTGTGGTGTAATCTAAGGGTGGCTGATTTGAATTATTGGCCCTTGGTTCAGAAAAATGAAAGCACAAGGGCAGAGTAGAAAAAGAGACAAGCTTAGCACAGGTGAGGAAAACACAGATGTAGTGGGCAGAAGCACCTTTTTTTTTCAGCTATGAAACCCCACTGGAAAAGCCCAGTTTGCACACTGGTGGTATCTAAGCAGCAAGGAGAAGTGACATCTCTGCTCGAAACTACAGTCACCTGCCCCGGGAGGACCTGTCATAGACCCTATACTCTAGGCCACAAGGGAGGGACTGAGTCATCTCCTGCTGCTCAGGGCTATCCAGACCCCTGGAATCCTGCTGTGTGCCTTGGGAAACTCTCTCTAGGAGGAGCCATGATCCAGTGGAACAAGGGCACAGGGTGTGGGCAGAGAGTTGTCACTAGGCCTGGGTCACAGGAGGAACAGTGGCAGCAACTGGCTGTGTGTAGCGAGCTGGGCCACTGCGAGGCAAGAGATGAGAGAACTTCACGGAGATATCACTGCCATCTTGAAGCACAGGAGGGGTGGCTGTGTGGCAGGCAGGTTTGACTTCTTCTTTCTGGTACCAGAAGGCAGACCTGCCACCTGCCACTGCTAATTGGTGGAAGTGAAAGGCTTATCATGCAGTAGAAGAAAGAAGTCTTGAGGGATTGGACTTGTCTGAGATTTGAAGAAGCTTCCATGTCTTGTGAGGGAGTGAAGGAAGGCTGAATAATGACTGAGGACAGAGTTCTCAAATTGAGTTGGGGATTAAAAGTTTCTTTCTCCAAGAACCAGCATTCAGGGTTCCTTTTGGGTAGGCAGAATCTGTGGAGTTGGTAGACAGAAATTGGCAATAATTGAAAAGTTGTTCCTCAAGATGGGAAGATGTGTCAGAACTGTCGTACTATGTGGGCTTTTATCATTGGGTGGTTATTCACATAAAAAGAAAATCTTGTTACTTCTGGGTTAGTTCATACTTCCAAAGCAAAGATTGTCTTATACTGTAAGTGTTGTAAAACTTTGGCATAATACATATTTGATAAATTAATAAATGACTATCTGAAAAACATAAATCCTTGGTGAATCATAGTATTTCACAAGCACATTACGTGACAGAAAGACTTTGTAGCCCAGACACAGTACTTGGGAGCAGACCATAGTCCTAATGACAAGTTTAATTTTCTTGAGTGTCTAAGGAAGAGCTGGTTTTCCATAAAGTGACTGTATTTGGGGCTGGCTTTGTGGCAGAGTGCTTGACTAGCATGCATGAGATCTTGCATCACTCTCTGCCCCCGGGAAACAATGATCATATTAAATGTGTGAGCTATAACTAGGGAATAGCGTGAGACAGATCTGAGCTCATAGCCAAGCCCTGCCATGGCCCCTACGTGCCTTTGTAAAGTTAATTTATTTATGTGGTCCTTTCTATGCTCCACTCCTAGTCCCAGATGTTGAAGCTGTGGTTGTTATCTTGCTGTTATTGTGATAAAATCATCTGAAATAATCACATTTTAGCAGGAAGATTTATTTTGGCTGAGTTTCAGAGGATCCCATATATGGCTTCCTGGGCTTCTTGCTTGGTGGCACTGGCCTGCCAAACCGCATGGGAAGGCAGAAGATGGAGCAAAGGTGGTCCCTTCAATACAGAGCAAAGAGGGAGATGCAAAGAGAGGGAGAGGAAGTGGGTAGGGGGGAAGCAGAAGGAAGAGAAGGAGAAGGAAGAGAGGTCGGGAGAGTTAGGAGAAGCAGGCTATGACTCAATATATTTCTCAAAGTTACTCTCTAATTCTCCAGTTAGACCCCACCTCCTGCAGATTTTTCCCTCGCCCCAAAGCACAATCGGCTAAAGTCCAAGACCGCAGTGTATGAGCCTGAGGCACCCTGGTGAGGTGGCTCACGATTCTGCCTCTGCTCTGTGTCTCATAATGCAGAGCGCACGCAGTGCAATCTCCAACAGCCTCTTGGTCTCGACAAGTACAGCGTTGCTCAGAAGTCCAGCTCCAGCTTCCTGAGATTCAAGGCAAACTGTTAGCTGTGAGCCCTGTAATTATAAAAGAGAAAATTTAATAAAATACAAAGGCATAGAGTCAACATTTGTGTTCTAAGAGGGAGGAAATACAGGAATGTGGAAGAGGGATAAGACCACAACCAGACGGAAACCCAGCAGGGTGAACATCTGCATCATATATCTGGAGCCCACAGTAACACACTGTGCGCTCCTGTGATCTTAATGTCTACAGCCCACATGATGACCTGCATCCCCTTGTGGCCTTCAGGTTTCCCCCACACAGGTTCCCAATCCCATTGTCCTACAATCTTCATCCCCACTTTGGCTTCACTCACATAGCCATATGCCTCAGCATCTCAGGGGCAGCTTCCAGAGACTTCAGCGCTTCTGGCTGCTGCATGAGGTCC